CATGAAAGATCTTGGAGAGGCCTCTTATATCTTAGGACTTTGACTCTATAGAGATAGATCGAAAAGGATAATTGGATTGTCCTAATCTACTTACATTGACAAGATTGTCAGAAGATACAACATGTAGAACTCTAAGAAGGGATTCGTTCCTTTTAGGCTCCAAAGGAATGTTACCTGAGACTCTTGAGGAGATAGAGGACATGAGAGAGGTTCCCTATGCCTTAGCCGTAAGGAGCATCATGTATGCTATGTTGTGCACACGACCAGACATTGCTTAGGTCGTTAGTGTTGTAAGTAGATACCAATCTAACACAGGACAAGAGCATTGGACTATTATGAAAAACATACTAAAGTACCTATGGAGGACCAAAGACTATTGTCTTATTTTCAATGGAAGTTCACTACAGATGGTCGGGTATATAGATACCGACTTCTAGTCTGATTTAGATGATAGAAAGTCTACATCTGAATACATTTGGGATCCTATGTAGTGAGTTAGAAAACTAGTCCATGATCGAGGCCAAGAACATTGCTAAAGTGAGGCTGCCAAATAAGTACTATGGATGAAGAAATTCATCTAGGAATTTGGAGTTGTACCACATCACCCATTCCATTGTTGTGTGACACAACATTGGTTCTACGGGAGATTGTTAGTAGAGGAGGCATCTAGGTTCAGAAGGTAGCATCAATGAAAAATGTGGTAGACCTGTTGCCTAAGCTGTTGACATAGAAAGTGTTTGTGAAACACGTAGACAGTATGGGACTAAGGCTTATACCCTATTGGATCTAAGTGCAAGTGGGAGTTGTTAGATAGTGTATGCCCGTAGCTCCAATCAGATTAATGTACAAATATATTTATTGTAAATAAATAAAAGTATATTATTATTTCATATTAATATTGCTATATTTTTATGTATTTACCCCTTAAACTGGACACTTATGAGACTCGTGTTAGTTTAGAATATTCTCAGCCGTTGGATAGACTTGGGCAGTCTATCCTATTAAGGTTGACACTAATGTGCTACCAAAGAAGTTAGGGTAGCTTGTTTCAACAGCTAGGGTTTGACCCAAAGCACATGCATTGTGTGTTTGGATGAAACATTGAACCCGAACCATTTTCTAGTTATGCCCTAGACCATGGAGATTGATGGGCAAAATTAGAAAGTTACACATAACCTCGGACTTAATTATGGTACTACACTAGGTGTTGGATTGAGTTGTCTTTGATATGCCAATCGGTGAGATCCATCAAGGGTCAAAACTTGGGTATATTGGGGGTAGTCTGAGAATTCACCTGAGTCGGTGATCATAGTGATATGATCAGCCCCTTTGTTGGACAAAGTGAATGATAGGGTTTACACTCTCTAATGGAAACCTAAACTATCAACAGTGAATTTAAAATGTGTTTGAAATCTGATTTTGCAAAATATATTTATGATGCATATATATTAATGTTTTTTAAAAAATATTTGTAAAAGGTTTTAATTATCGGGATCCATCCGAGCAGAAAGTGTCACACTGTACCTTGCAAACAGGGGAGAGGTCCTACCTTGTCGTAAAGTGTTGTGATCATTATAAGCCAAGAGATTAAGTGTAAGAGACCATTATAGGGTTGATTACCTGATGGGCTTTATCTTACTTAAGTCCATTATCCTTTGGTCTTCATAGGATAGTTAAATTCAATGATCATTAGGTGTAAATGTTTAGCTCATATTGAGTCCATAATGATGTGCTTAAGGGTTCACTGCGTTAAGCAGTGATTCAACTAAGCCTTTTCACAGAGGTTGGGCCGAACCCATGTGAACTTATGTGAGGTCATTGTGGGGTCCCACACCATATAAATCAAGCCTAAGTTGGCCATGCAACATCCTGGGTCGTGAGCCTTAGAAGTAAGCAGGCCTAAGGCCCATAATTAATAAGATTAAGTAAGTTGTCACATGACAACTTGCTCTGGGTCGAATTTGGATTTGGAAATGGGTATGGATCGCTCATCCTCTTAAGAGGATAAGGCTAATCTCTTAATAGAGTCCAGATCCAAATTAGATTTTGATAATCTCTTAATTTGATTAAGAGAGTGCTCCATAAGGAGATAAAATAAGAAGAAGAGGCGAACCAAACTAGAACACCACTCTTTCTTGTTTTCTCTTCTTCTATTTTGTCTTCCAGGAAACCCTATCACGACCTAGGCTTTCAAGAACTGACTTAGATATGTTTTCTTCTTTGTTTTTGCAAGAAAAACTCAGAAGAAAATCATGTTCACTTACTTCATTCGATTCAAGCAAGTTGGATCACAGTTTACTGAAAATAGTGTTGTTGAACCGGTTTCACCTACACATTACACCATCTTCAATAGAGGCGTGAACTTCCACCTTGGGATTTGCATCTATAGAATTTGTATAAGGTATATATCTCCCTCTTTGTTTGGTTTGAAATCTAATATGATTCAGTGTAAGATTGATCTGGAAAATTCAATTTTCAAATTCACCAAGAAATCGGTTCCCATAAGGGTTAGAAAAAATTTTGAAATTTTCGCCCAGCCATCTAGCATGGTTTGGCCATCCATATGATGGATTCTAAACCTTTCCAACAATGATTATAATCCTCTATAAGTCTTTCTAAACAAGAAGAAAAGAGAGTTTGGCAGTTTATTATTATGTTTTTCCTCCTTTCTCCCTTTTCATATGCTCGGATCTTTTGTTTTAATTCTCTCTTTCTCTCAAAGTAAAAGCATTGAAGTTGTCACAGTGTTGGGAATCGATGGTTTCCTGTGGTTTAACTGAGGTTAAGCTTGTATGATGGATGGCGGTTCTTGAGGTGAGAAAAAGATAGAATATTCTTTCCAATTTCTTTTACTACTTTCTCTTCCATTGGTTGATTTGAGTTGTTGGTAGATTTAAAGGCGTTCTAGAGAGATGAATTTCCTCTCTTTCTCTTTCTTTTTCTTTGTCTTTTGAGCATTTTCCTCAAGAAAATTGAATTCGTAATAGAAGTATGTGATTCTTCTTTGATTGTTTAATCTCTCTGGGTTTATGTTTATTTATTTGATTATGATAATGCTTGTGGGTTTTTTAATTATTGATGATGAACAATTCTGGATTGGAACTAGTTTTTGTTTTATTACTAGTGGGAACTTTGTTTGTCCTCTGTTTCACTTCTTTCCTTCTTCAATAGTTAGGTAAGTTCGGTTTTCCTATAAACTGCAGCTCGAAGTCTCTATTTTGTTTTGTAAACAAAATTACAGAATTTCTATAAAGTTTTTTTCTTCATAACAGCTATCTATTATTGAAGAAAAACTTTTTGCTCCACTGTTACTGTTATAAGAATCACTGTTGATATTGTAGAAGGGTTGAAGTTCATGAACAATAATGGTGTCACATACAGATATAGACGATCCTATTGGATAAGTAGGGACAATTTTGGTATTTTGAAATATTTTAATGACGCGCTAACGAAATCAAGGGCAATTTCATAAATTTATCGGTTTTCTGTCTAGATTTGTGATAGAAGAGAGGTTTTTGTCAAATTGTAGAGAGGTTTTTGTTAAAGTAAAACTACAAGAGAGATTTTTATGATTGTCAGAAAGTTCAGGGGAGGTTTTTGTATTTTACCCTTTTCCTAAAAACGAATGTTGTTCATGTTAGGGAAATTGTCAAAAACTCACCATGAGTTTTCAACATTTCTTTTAAACTCACTACAACTTTTCAAAATGTCTAAAACTCACTATGTCACTAACTTGACGTTAAAGAGACTAACGGTTGTTAATATATTACCATTTTAACCTTCATAGAAAAATATAAAATGTATACATATATAAAATATAAACATATATTTTAATATTTAGATATGAAAAAAAGGAAAAAGTTCAAAAAATATTTTCAAATATAAAATACATAAAAACACAAAAATTTCAAAAATATAAAAAAATTATAGAAATTGCACACAAAATAAAAAATTATTTTCAAATTATAGAAACTATAGAAATTGAAAAACAAAATCAGAAAATAAAAATTGTAGAAAAAACACAAAAAATATAGAAAAACACAGAACTTGCAAATAAATAACAAAAAATACAGGAAATTTTATAGATTGTAGAAAATAGAAAAATGTAAAAAACAGAAATTATAAAAAACATTAGAAATTATAAAAAACACTAAAATGTAAAAAAAGAAAATTAAAAAATGAAAAAGACCCTTTTCCTCTAACTCGCCTTTCAAGGGTGATTTGGTCACAAAAATTGTTATTGATATTGATATGGACACTTCTGTTAAGAAACATTAATGGTGCACAAAAAGTGAATTTTAGAAAATAAAAACTTAACAAGATTGTGAGTTTTAGATATTTTAAAAAGTTGTGATGAATTTAAGAGAAATACTAAAAACTTTTAAACAATTTCCCTTCATGTTAATATCCAAATGCGGGCTTTTGTACACTTGGATAAATCAAAATGATCTTTTTTTTTTTTCGAGTTTGGACAAATGAATCGGTCAGGTGTACAAGTCTTCAACATGTTTAAACAACTAACTGCCTTCAGCATAATTTCTATTAAACGTTCAACCTCCACGTAATAGTTAACACCACAATAAGCAAACCAATGAACCGATGGGATCTTTGGATTCTTGATTGATTGGTTCACAGACAAAGAACGGAGGGAGTGATCAATTGAGCCATTTTTTTTTATATTATTTTAATTGTTTCTTCGGATACAATCACAACCACCGTACTGGAGAGGTCTAAAATTAAAAACTATAATAAATAATTTAATACTCTTCAGGTTGAAATTGGGCCAAGAAATCGGAGTCTCAGAGTAGAAGTTACTCGAAAGCCGACACAATCCTCAGGAGTAGGAACCCTGCCCCTGCAGGCTAATCCGGTTTAATTCATCCACTCCCGTCCATCACGCCTTCACAAACTCAAGAGAAATAGAATTAAAGAACAAACCTATAAGATTTTTATGACATAATTTTATTATTCACATTCGTATAAGCTTTTTGTTTTTTCAAGAAAGAGGAAGAAGAAAAAAATCCACCACACACTAAATCATAAATACAAACAATGGTAAATGTAAAAAACGACTCCATGGTACAGGTGTCGCTTATTTCTAAAGGGGAAGAAAAAAAAAAAAAAGTTAAGAGGCACAAAAATTACACACTCAAATCAACCCTACACCTGTTATCGAAAAAAAAAGAAAGAAAGAAATAAAAAACCTAGATCAACAAAGTCAGCAGCAACACACTCAAAACCGCTACAGTCCATCTCGCACCGTTAAATCTAACACCGCCGTTGTCGTCAGCCACCGTTTGATCAGCCGGTTCACCATCCGGGGACATTGGCTCCGGGGACATGGACTCTGGTACCTGTGGCGGTGGTGGTGCATGCTTCGTCGGTGCCTTGGAAGACTTAGCAACCTTAGGCGCCGGTGCTGGAGCCGGCGTTGGCGTTGGCGAAGCCTTGACTAACTCCTTCGGTACCAACACTTTGTCGATCGTGTAAATCGCCACAGGCTGCTTGTCCAGCAACGTCCCTGTTATCTTGGCCGTCACGATCTTCGTCTCCAATGTCACCAACTCGCCGTCGTTCTGAATTGTGAAATCATAATTATTGGCACCGTCCGTCGCTAACGTGTTCACAACTCCGTTATTCGACTTCAGCATTGGCATGGAATAGTAAACAGGAATTCCGTGATACAGCAGCAACGAATTCTTCCCATCCGCCGTTAGGTTCTTGTATTTGGGCATGAAGTCTTTAAACGCCTGGTCAGTGGGGCAGAACACCGTTAACCCTCCTACAATGTTGTCGTCAAACGTTTGCTCGGCTCCGGAAGCCACTAGCGTATCTGCGAAAACCTTACAACCTTGCTTTGACATTAGAGATGTGAGGTTTAACTGGCTGGGGCCTGGAGTGGGGGCTTCAGCTTCAGCGGATGCCATGATCTTGCTGATCTGGATGACGGAGATATTGTATGGGATCTCCTCTACAGATTTGACGAAGGTGGCGTCTAGGTTGCCGTGGTTGGATTCGGCGCCAAAGCCGACCTTACCGCCTTTGAGATCGGTAATGTTGACGAAACCAGAAGAGCCCGGGGCGGAGCCAGTGGCTTGGAACATGGTGGCAGTCAAGGCCGTACCGTTTGTAATTTGATGCAACTTCTGTGCACCAAAATAATCGAGGAGAACGTGAAGGGATAGGACGTTTTTGATGGTGTAGATGGAGAGCTGCTTGGAGAGGAGGTCTGACATGCCGCCATTGTCGACTGTGCAGATCGTGATGGTCTCGCGTTGGTTGATCTCTACGGCGAGGTGTGTGAGAGTTAGGAATTGGTTGAAGATCGAGAAATCGGGGTTCTTTGCTAGGATGCTCGTGATATTGTGTGCATCGGTGACCCCGGCTAAAAGCAGGAGGAGAGAGAGAGCTATTGTTCCGGTGGCCGCCGGGAAGAGCTGCATTATTTGAGCGAAGAAGAAGAAGAAGAAAGCTGGCTGCGGGGATGATGGGGGGAGTGTAGGACTTGGACTTAAAAAGTTGAGTGGAACGGAGAGACAAGACTTGGTAGTAATGAGCGAGTAAGTTGTGGAGATCTGGAGTAGGTAATTGGAGAAATGTCCAACAAATTAGAGAGAATTACGAGTAAGGCCACTTCGTTGGTATTGTGGCGTTCGACACGGCCCACGGTGAAAGCTGCATGCCAATTGCCAAATAAAGTTCCATACTTCTTATTACAGAAGTTTTATAGCAAGACAGCCTTAGAGGGAATTTGTCCTCGTGGTGGGGCCATGGGAGGGAGGAATGCCTCAACTTACCAAAAGATCCGAACCCAACTCCATCACTGACACTGAAATACTGAATGCATGGACGTGGACCCGCGGAAGCTTAACACATCACAAATTTGGTTTTCTTTTATTCGCGCCAAATCTAGGGTGGGATCCATTCAATGATTGGTCCTGATTATCATGGAACATGTATACGGGGAATAAAAAATTAGTGTAATGGTGAGTTTTATTTTCGATTTAGTAAGGGAAAAAATTTATTATTGAGAATGTCACGAGGGAATGGGATGAGTCGGATGACGGGGACATAGTTTAATCAATTAATGGCCCATTTGTTTCATGGGAATAGGGGTTTAGAATCGAATCAGAATTGGATTATTCTAATTTTAACTGTTTAATTGGGTGGATTCTTTCATTTGAAGAAATGACTATTTCCTTCCCTCCTCTCTTACGAATAAAATTTCAATTCAATTGATTTAATTTCAATTCCTGTTTGAACTAAATAAATTATGGAAATAGACCATTCAAATTCTAATTTCAACATATTTTGATTCCTATTCTGATTCTAATTCCGATTGTAACCAAATGGACCCTAAAATAAAATTAATAATCTCTTAAAAAATTTCAGCTTGAAAACATGAAAAGCCAGATTTGATATATTTTGGTAGGGTCAGTTTTGGTGGTGGGAGATTCGATTTGGTAGGGTCTCAACATTGCACCAACTTCACAATGGAAGTTTCTGCAGAAAATTCAAAACTCAAGAGGATTACCGACTAACCGAGTCAGGACTCACGATGTGTTGAACATGTGGTTCTACCATGCATTTGCATTCAGAGTTTTGAGTAGGGTGTTTATGGTTCGCTTAATCGAATTATGGACATTTTTTGTAAATCGAACCGGTCCTATCAGTTTTTCATTTTCTTCAAACCAAAACCGAACCAGTACCACCAGTTAATCGATCTATCAGTTTCAATTTTTGATGGGTTTAGTTCTTTGATTTTTCAGTTTTTTATATTCATAATATATATTATGTAAATATATGTATAATACTATATTATAAATAATAAATGATATATAATATATTATAAATATTATAAAAATATACAATATATAATATATTTATAAATAGATTATTATAAATATAATATATCAATGTATTTATATATAATGCATATATTTATATATAATATATAAAAAATATGTAACCTATATTTAATATATATAAAATATACATATAAATATATATACCGGTCGATTCAATTAATCATCGATTTTTTCTAAGGTAACTAAAAACCGAACTAATTCTTTACCTTTTCAAAAATACCAAACCAAAACTAAATCAATCGATTCAATTCATCACATTTTCTGATTCAATTTTCTTAGTTTGATTCGATTTTTCGATTTTTTAATTTTTCATGTACACCCCTAATTTTGAGTTTGAGAATTGGGGTGGGGTTAGTAGTAGTCAGTAGTCACCATTCAGTAGCAGTAAGCGGAGGAGATTTTGGTAATTCCGGAGAAACAATAACAAAACAAAGGGAACTGTCTTGTTTTAGCTTCAATTCAATTAATTTTGGTAAAATAATGAAAAAGCAGCTCCGGATCACGTTTCACGTCATCAGTCATCACGTGGGAGAGCATCTGTTGATCAGAAATCAAGGCAGCTAATAGACAAGTGCAGAGAATAGAAATATCGTATATTGTTATGTACGTGCATTTCCCTTCCATGCTAATGCTATGATATCGTACTTTGCTTGCAAGATTTGCATAGAAAAAGTTTATTATTGATCTGAGTGAGCTGTTAAGTATTCGACCTGTTTTTAGATGAAATGATCAAGTTGAGCTTTATGCACAATAAACGGTTAGTCGGTGACAAAACGTAAAGAAAAGATCAAAGGCAATTGCATAACCGCATTAAGGTTTACTGGTTTAGGGGTATATTCGTAGTTTGACCAAACTTCGAGGTTTATTCTATTAACATATCATTTATTGAGTTAAGTAAACTGAAAATTGAAACTAACCATGGTTTGGTTACTTGGTTAGTTAAAAGAAGAAGTAAATCAGTGAATACAACTCGAACTACGCCAGGCAGGCTGGTGAGGTGAGGACTATGATGGGGACGTGCATGGCGATGAATTCAAATCTGAGAATGCACCCAAAAACGTCATACAGCACATCTCAACCGTGTATTAAAAATATCTCCCGGAGTTTTCAATGCACGCTGAGATATGTATATGGGGCATTTGCTCTTAAAAAATTATTCAAAATAATTAAAAATAATCATAAATAAATACAGTTATATTATGTTTCTAAATAAATTTTTTTTCCAAAGCTATAGTATATTATTTTTGGTAATTTTTATGATTATATAATGACCTTTGTTTTTAATTATTAATAACAGTAATTATTAAATTTCTATTTATAAATACCTTTGTTTTTATTTTTACTAAAATAAAAATATTTAATAAATTTATGTTTATTAACATTATTTATTAATAACAGAAACTATGAACACTAATTATATTTATTAACAATATTTTAGGTAAATACTGTTTTTATTAACAGTATTTATTAATTACCAAAAACACTTTAAAAAATACCAAAACTACAAACAAATACTTTAATATTACCAAAAATTACAAAAATGCACTCAAAAATAATTTAAAAATAATCTTAAATAAATACAGTTATATTATGTATGAAAAAAAATTCCAAAATTATAGTATTTTTGGTAATTTTTAGTAATAATATTTATTAACATTATTTATTAGAAAATACTTTTGGCAATCCAATAGTATTAATAGACAATATTTAATGGATTTTAAATTATTAGCAGTATTACTTAAAAATTATAAAAAATTACCAAAAATACTTTATCAATTACTAAAATTACTTAAAAGTACAAAAACGGTTTCCAAAAGAAGCTAAAATAAACACTATTATATTATTTCTGGTAACCTTTGGTAAATTTGACTTATTTTTACTATAAATAGTGATGGAATTTTTTTGGTACATTTTACTGTTAATTAAATAATCTTATTAGGACTTGTATTTATTAATAGTATTTAGTTTAAAAATTAACAAAAATACTTTAAACATTACCAAAAATTAACAAAAATAACAGTATTTATTAATAAGTCTAATTATTAACAATAATTATATTTATTAACAATATTTTAGGTAAATACTTTAAAAAGACCAAAAAAAATACTTGAAATATTACCAAAAAATAAAAAAAAAAAACTAAAAATAATCCTAAATAAATACAGTTATGTTATTTTTAAATAAAAAAATTTCTAAAATCGTAGTATTTTTGGTAATTTTTACTTAAAATATATTTCTTAATTTACTGAAAATATATCTGATAATTTATTAATGGTATTTATTTATTAACAGTATTTATTAATAAAAATACGTTTGGTAATATATTAACAGTATTAATATAATTAACATTATGTATTTATTAATATTTTATTAATAACAATATTAATTTATTGATCTATGGTATTAACAGTAAGTATTAACAGCGTTAATTTAATTAATACTAATAATTATTAATTATTAATTTAATTATTTAACAGTATAAATTTAATTTATTTAATTGATTTATTAAATACTATCAATTAATACTGTTAATTAAATTAGCAGTAATTATTAAAAACATTTATTTTTTAAAACGGGCTAGATATAGGTGGGTTTGTGCTCATATCCACATCGAATCTTGTCCATTTAACTTAAGCCACACCACTTTGGTTTAATCTTTAATGGACTGGGTAGGATATTATAAATCCAACTTGGACCCAATCGAAAAGTTCATCTTCTTTACCCGATTTACATATACAATATTTGCTCGAGAAAACATAGTAGATGCAAATTGGCTCTAAACATCACTTGATTTACATCTATAACCATGTATCAGTTCGCATGTCCCATTAGAATTGGATTTTCATATAATATTACAAAAAAGAGAGAAAAAATTGGATGGAAGACATACTTGAACCATTCCGCCCCCTGTTTCATCGAAGTCGCAATACAAGCATGCAAAGAGATCAACTGCTTCAGGGTGAACTGCTCAGAGAGAGAGAGAGAGTTTAGAAGTTGGCCAAACAAATTAACCAAAATACTAGAAGTTTACAGTGCTCGTGGGAAGACATACCTGAACCATTCTACCCCTGCTTTATTGAAGTCACAATACACGCACAAAAATCTATTGCTTCGTAGTGACCTGCATTGATAAAAGCTCCATTCGCTTTTATTTACCTGGGTAAGTTATTTACCTGGGTAAATGCAGTTATTTGGGTAAGTTTTTCCTGGGAAACACTTACTCGGGTAAGTGCATTTACCCATGTTTTATTTCTCATGAAAATAAGGCAATGACCATTTTAGCCATAAAAATTTATTATTAGAAAGGATATTTTTGTCACATTCAAGTGTTGGCAACTTTATTTACCCACCTAAGAGATGGGTATCACTTACCCGGGTAAGTGGTACTCAGGAAAATAAATTTTCCCTGGTTCCCACATAAATCTGAAAAAAGAACATGGGATTCTTGGTCAATGGGAACTAAAATCCATGACCAACTTTCCCCCCTCTCAAAATCCGAAAAAAGAATGCTTCCAAGGAGAGAATTGAAAGAAATGATTTCTCCACATAAATCTGAAAAAAGAACATGGGATTCTTGGTCAATGGGAACCAAAATCCCATTGACCAACTTTCCCCCCTCTCAAAATCCGAAAAAAGAGCGCTCCCAAAGAGAGAATAGAAAGAAATGACGGAAACTGCAAGATAGATAGACAGATAGATAGATAGAGAGTAGAGAGAGAATATAG